AAATAGCACATAGTTCTATACTTAGGGGTTCATTCAATGGCAGACCCTTCTAAATTATACAAGTTAAATTACTCCACTTTAATGAAAACCCTTATACGGGATATTAAGTGACTGGATAGACAAACCCATCTCGTGGATTGCCTGAATCCACCCTTTTAAAATGAATATCCTACCACGCATATTATTTCTATTCCAGGCCCTCCCCCATCCCTGGAATGTGACTAAATCAGATCTAGTGCCCCTACAAAAGCCATCAGCTCTTTTATATGGCAAAATAAGCAACCTTGGATCCTTTATCGCCCTAAATCGAGGGATGGATTGGGACTGCCGCATCTCTATTTCTATTATATAGCTTGCACAAATTGTGATGTGGTATGTTCCCTTAGAGGAAAGGAGATGGGTAGACCGTGAGTCACTTTTGACGGGGGCAGATCTACCCCAATTTTTCATGTGGGTCCTCCAAGAAAACAGACCGATTCTACGAACGTCATGCCCAGCAATACTAAATTCGATAAGAATCAGGGATAAAGGGCCACTAAATATAAACTAGCATCCTCCCCATCACCTCTAATTTCCTTTTGGAGAAATAGGGCATTCCCCCAAGGTATGGCAGCAAGAGACTTCCGAAACTTGGAGAGAGTAGGCTTACAGAGAATTCATCATATCGTACGTTGATAGAAATAGAATACAATTTGAAGAATTAAAACAAAGGGCCCACCTTACAACAACCAATTTGTTTCGGTACTTACAACTAAAGGATTTTGCAAATAAAGCACACATAAGAGAACCTGCTCACAAAGCAATGTCTTTCTTTGAGAGTGTCTGAATGAATCTAAGCTCCAAAACAAACGAATGGGGGTTTTAGGGGAAATATTAGAAGGTATAGAATGGCAAGCAGACTTAGGGGAAATATTAGAAGGTGTAGAATGGCAAGACATATGGGAAGCCAATAATGCAGTGTCCATATGCATGTCATTACAGGAACAATTGTTTAAAACTATGTTCAGGTGATATACTACCCCCATAAAATTTGTAGAATGAAAAAAATCGCCAACGGATACATGTTGGAGAGGATGTGGCCATACGGGTTCATATGTCCACATCTGGTGGGAATGCCCCCAAGTTCAACTGTATTGGAAAAGAATACAGGAACTGATGGGTCAAATCTTTCAATGAAAATCAGACTTCAACCCATGGGTATATTTATGAAAGGGACCGTTAGAGGGCTGGACCAAGCACGAACAATTGTAACTACACAAGGTTACCTTAGCTGCTACTAGGGTGTTAGCCCAATCATTGCTTAAAGCTGAAAGCTGGAATCCCCCCTACTCAGGTAGTATTGGCTAAAATACAAAATACATATATGATGGACAACCTGACCGCTAGGGTCAGAGGATCCATGAAGAAATTCGAGAAAATCTGTGAACCCTGGTTGAGCTGCAGTTTAGCAGACTAGATAGAGGGACAGTACCTGTTGTACTCATTTTTAAAAATATATATAAAATGAAAATATTTTATTAAGAAAAAAAAGGGAAAAGTACAATGATATAAGATGACTCTCAACTTGGGACATAGTCTGAGACCGCAAAGACCATAAATACCCACTTAGGGCTGTCCTCTCCTGCCGCCCAGCCACTCGTGGCTTCCCGGTGACCTACCTTTACTATCTACTCTTGTTCTTTCTCCTACACTCTACCTTTCCTTTTCCTTTTCTTTATTCGCTCCTTCCTTCTATCTCTTAAGATAGGAAAAATCAATGACTTGATCATCTCCATTGGTTCCTTAATATTATGTTGTGAGTTTATGGAGTTTCTGTAAACGGTTTGCACTTCCTATCCAACCACAAGATACTCTACCTGCAACACCAACAGATGTAGTATTAAATTTAACAGCTTCTATTCGTTTATATGTAATCCATAATATATCTAAACCATAAAATTGTGACATGTTTTTGACAGGGGTATTACCTGAAGGATTGTTCACATACTATTCTTGACTTGTACTAATAAGGCATATATCTATCAACACTGTACAAAAATGCTCAAATGTTTTATGTGATGTTAATGTCATGACTGTCACTCAAAAATAAAGAATTGAAAAAAGGAAATTCATGAATACATGATATTGTTATATAGAAAAGGTACATCAATTACATTTGCCTTGTGTGGAATAGTACTAAAGCTTTGTTTCACAAACTTGTAGCAACATTGAAAGTAAACCTACTAAACTTAGAGATTAATGAGCTTCCCACAATTAGCCCTACATCTCTTAACTTCCTGGACTTGTGAACTTGATGGAATAAAGAGTAACATGTGGCCATAGCTCTTTACCCTAAACCTGTAGCGGAGCGTCCTGTACCCCAGCTGGGTACCTCCACCAGAGGGGTTGCTACCTTCCTGTACCATGGGAAACGGATAGGGAACTAGCTCTCTTAGTCCTTACAAGGACTTTCCCCGTGTCATCTCCCTGCAAGCTGGAACAGTAACCAGACAACACACAGTTCTGGAGGTTAAAGCACTGTGGTAATCTTTATTTGGAACACACAGCTTTTATGCACAGACCGCTCTGGGAGATACCAACAGTACACAGGGACACACCTTAAAACACATTACATACAGGGGGGATAAACATTGGGGCTACAGGGATGAAACATACATAGCTAGATAGTCCCAGGTTCCATCTGGGATCCCTGCAAATAGCAGGGCTATCGGATGTACAGAGCCTGAGAAATCAGCGTCTAAAGTCTGGGGCTCGAGGCTCTGTACATCCCCGAAATTAGTTCCATGGAGTTGCATGGTTTAGTCCGGTGAATTCAAACTTCGCGCCTAAACCAAGCAACAACCAATCAGCTAAAAGGGCGCAAACCAAATCGCGCCAATCAGCGCTCGGCGAAGGAGAGGAGTTTCGCCGCCCAATCCGAACAAAGAGCGTGAAAATAGGTTGCTCCAATCGGCGCTCTGGAAAGGAGAGGAGTTTCGCCAACCAATCAGAAGAAAGGGCACAAAACCCAGTTTGAACGAGCGCTCCTTCTCGGATTGATCACCTGCGCCCTGCAGTGACCAATCAGCGCTCACTTGTGCCGACCAACCAGGATGGCACGAACCCCGTTTAAATGGGCGCTCCTTCTCCCATTGGTCGGCACAGACTTCCATGCGGCCAGCGGGACTGCATACATGAGACCGACTCACAGCTCCAGAGATTCCCTGCTGGCGCGCGTCCCTCTCTCCGGTGGATATTCCCGCACTCTCCTGGGCGGCTACGAGCCTAGCCTCGTAGTTCCCAGGTGGGGGGGGGAAATCAGTGACTATAGCTCCGTTGGGAGCAGGTAGAATGATCCCTGACACGGGGACCGGAGACCGTGTGCGTATGCCAGTTCGGGATACGAATGCTGCCCCTGGTTGGCATTTGGATATACAAACCGGCGGCCATTCAGGGGAAGCATGCGCCACTTGTTTCCCTTGCGGTCTGTGGTTTTGAACTTTTTAAATATACATTCTGAATGAGGTGTCAGGGTGGTCCCCGTTCATATGAGCTCTCCCAAACGGGGAGCAGGTAAAACACACAAATACATCACAATTTACATGGGGAAACACAGAATACAAGGGGAAATAAGCATTGGGGACATGAATTACAAGGGCAAAACATATGAATATTCTGTGGGCATGGCACTTAATGGCAGTGGCCCGCTACAAAATCCTACCTTAAACAGTTGCAAGAATCTAACCTAAACACAAGACACAACCTAAAGAAAAGTATTTTCCAGACTAGAACCATAAATACCACTTAGTTACACACTAGTTTACCTGAAATTTACAAATGTGGAACCTGTAAAGCATACAAGTACATTGCTAAAAACTCCAATACATTTCATATAGCCACAATGTAATTACCTTATGTCCCATTAATATATGAATCCTAGAACATGTTGGAGAGAGGGAGAAATACTCCCATATCTACACAATTTCATGTTTTTGATGTCTTCTCTGTAAGCCTCCAGTTCCAGTGAAAATTGGCCCAAGGAATGGAGACCTGGATACAAAGACATGAATATTTTTGTATTTATTTTTATCTATTTGGTACCAGTAGATTAGCAACAATGAAATGCACCAGCGCATGTCATGGGTTCTAGTGACGTGAGATGTGCGTTCCATGCAGAGAAAACCGGATCCGGAAGAGAAAAGCCGGCGGGCATTTAAAAAGATGCCGAAATACTATGGAGATTTTCCCGACTAGGGAAGCCCCTATAGGGCGAAACGTTTCCAGAGGACAGTCAAAAACAGGTCGCAAGAGAATACTGAGAACGGGCAGCAGCTGAAATAGCCTGCCCTTCGGTCTGTCCCCGCTCAGTTTTCAAGCTGATTTTTGCTCATCTTGTGCCATTACAGAGAGAACATATCTGAAGCATATCAGACTGGTCCCACCCATACGGGCAGTCCAGATCCGAAATGCCAGCAAGTTCTCTTTGCACAAGAGATACAGCAACCCCAGACGATCGTTTCAGCCTTGTTAGGCATCATCAGTGAGGCATAGCTGATATCTCCCTAGGCACCGTGAGCAAGGGGTCCACGTCTGGATTATCCCTTTTAACTTGTGGAGAGTCAAAAACGGGTCGCAAGAGAATACTGAGAACGGGCAGCAGCTGAAATAGCCTGCCCTTCGGTCGGTCCTCGCTCAGTTCTCAAGCTGATTTTTGCTCATCTTGTGCCATTACAGAGAGAACATATCTGAAGCATATCAGACTGGTCCCACCCATACGGGCAGTCCAGATCCGAAATGCCAGCAAGTTCTCTCTGCACAAGAGATACAGCAACCCCAGACGATCGTTTCAGCCTTGTTAGGCATCATCAGTGAGGCATAGCTGATAACTCCCTAGGCACCGTGAGCAAGGGGTCCACGTCTGGATTATCCCTTTAAACTTGTGAAGAGTCAAAAACGGGTCGCAAAAGAATACTGAGAATGGGCAGCAGCTGAAATAGCCTTCCCTTCGGTCGGTCCCCGCTCAGTTCTCAAACTGATTTTTGCTCATCTTGTGCCCTTACAGAGAGAACATATCTGAAGCATATCAGACTGGTCCCACCCAGTCTGATATGCTTCAGATATGTTCTCTCTGTAAGGGCACAAGATGAGCAAAAATCAGCTTGAGAACAGAGCGGGGACCGACCGAAGGGCAGGTTATTTCAGCTGCTGCCCGTTCTCAGTATTCTCTTGCGACCCATTTTTGAGTTTCCAGAGGACAGTTAAGGCATAAGCCTCGGACTGATGGAACCTTTATTTTTTTTAAACTTTTTTTTCCATAATCTTTATTAAAGTTTTTTCTTTTTTCAACATTGAATAGACATACAAATATACAGCATTCATAAACATACTATTCTTTTTCTTTTCTAATTCGCTCTTCTTTTTCTTCCTCTTTAGATTTACACAACAAAAACACAACATTTAGCATACATTAATTTTATTGCCGTTGGGAGAGTAGAGAGGGACTTGGAGTTTACATAGATATTCTTCTTCTAACGCCTTTAGGGCCTGTATAGTACTTTTTTTTATAGGTTAGTATAGTTTTAGTTATTACAGTTATTACAATTATATTTTGTATTTTAGTTGACCTTTGATAACCATTGATCCCATATATAATATTTTTTTGGGTAATTTAATATAGTTAAACTAATTTCTCTTTCCATTTGGATTTGATATACCGTATATACTTGAGTATAAGTCGAGTTTTTCAGCACATTTTTTGTGCTGAAAAACCCCCACTCGACATACTCAAGTCACTGTCTGTATTATGGCAACTTACATTGACATAATACAGACCAGGACCGCCGGGCTCATTACAAGCCCGGCGGTCCTGTTGGGGGCTGGCAGAGAGCTGTTACTTAGCTTTCCTGCAGCTCCTGTCAGCTCCCTTCTCTCTCCTCCGGTCCGGTCAGCTCCCCTGTAACTCTCGCGAGAGCCGCGGGGAACGCTCCGCGCGGCCGCAAGACTTACAGTGGAGGAGAAGGGAGCTGACCTTACCGGAGGAGAGAGAAGGGAGCTGACAGGAGCTGCAGGAAAGGTAAGTAACAGCTCTCTGCCAGCCCCCCTCCTGCACAGCCAATCCACTGGACCACCATGGAATGAGAGCCCCCCTACCTGGCCAGCTAAAAAGCAGGGAGGGGGGACCAAAATAAAAATAAATAAAAAAATATTAATATATATAAATATATTAAAAAAATAATAATAATTTTTAAAAAATTATAAAAATGCCAACCCCCCCACCAAGGCTCTGCATCACATACACACACTGTACTCATACACACACACACACACACACACACTGCACTCATACACACACACACACACACACACTGCATTCATACACACTGCACTCATACACACACACACACACACACACACTGCATTATATACACACACACACACACTGCATTCATTATATACACACACTGTAAATAAATATTCAATAAATTCATTTTTTGGGGATTCTTTATTTAGAAATTTACCAGTAGCTGCTGCATTTCCCACCCTAGTCTTATACTCGAGTCAATACGTTTCCCCAGTTTTTGGGGGTAAAATTAGGGGTCTTGACTTATATTCGGGTCGACTTATACTCGAGTATAATTGGGTATTTGCTTTGTTCCAAGTAGGTTTTTTGTTAGATTTCCAATTTTGAGCTATGGTTAACCTTACAGCTATTATCATATGAGTAAGTAGCATTCTCAAGGCTTTAGACATATCAAGCCAGTTCATATGTAACAACACCTCTTTTGGTGTCCAATTTAATTATATTTCAGATATGTTGCTGATAGTGAGGAATTTTCTCTTTCAGGCATTTCCCCTTGCCATGGTATTTTGTATCAATTTGCAACTCTCTGTATTTCTCCTTGTCCCCAAACCAGCTGGTGAGGAGCCCCAATGAATGATACAAGACAAGGTTCAAAGTGACTTCTGAGCCTTTAATGAGCCGTGTAACAAGTTAAATACAGCAGGAAACAGGGGTGGTCGTTACAAGCATTATCTAATCTTAATAAAATAATTTATCTTATCTTAACATCTTAAACTATAGCAAGCTTGCAGGTGTATTTTCATGTTCAGGCCTTGCTCAAAGCTAAATTTCACTAGAACTACGCAGTTCAATTAATATGTATGCCCACTACGAATTAAAGTATACGCACTAAGAATTAAAGATATGTACTACGCAGTTCTAAATTACATATTACTAAGCAGTTATGATCAAAGGGAGAAAAACAGGAAATAAGGCCGACAGACAGAAACATACAGGATATAACACCTATTACTTGTTACATGATGTTCTACAGCTCTTAATTGTCTAAGGGTATATTCACTAAGCATTGGTTATAGCTAAAATATACTTTTTCAAATAGGCCAGTCGGTCATTTGTAGCTTAAGCCCTGGGTCAGTATAGGTAAAGTGTATTATTCCCAGCAGTTTCAAAACCATTCATAAGATTTTAACCATATTTCTTTCACCAACATACAATTCCACCATAAATGAATATAGGTTCCTTATTTTTTATTACATCTCCAACATATGTTTGATTGATTATGGGAAATTTTTGCTAATCTAGTTGGAACCCAATACCATCTACTGAATAGTTTTCATTGCATTTCAATTAAATTCAGACAATGAATTATTGAAGAAGAATTAGAAAATTATTTTACCCACTCCTCTCTATCTACCCTGATTCCCAGATCTTTTTCCCACCTAAGTATGGCTGGGATTTTTGTGGTATCTATGTTTGCCATATTTTTTCAATTCTTGTGTAATTAAATAGTTTTTCTATTTTAGAAATTATAGTTGTATGTTCCTGAACTAAATATTTATTAAGAATATTTTTAACTCTTAAATAACTGAAGATCTGGGAATTAGGAAGATCATATTCTTCGCTTAATTTTGCAAAATGTTTAATTTGACCTCTATCAACAAGATCAGATATATATATTCAATTCCTTTTTGTTTCCATAATTTAAAATCTAAATCTTGGGTTCGGTTGATAATTGTAGAATATCAATTTTCAGTTTTTTAATTAACTTTGAGGTAATTTTTTTTAAATTTAAATCCATGCTTTGATTGTTTGACTTAAAATGTTGTTCTTATTTCTTAGATTTAATATTAACTGTTTTTCTTTTATATTCCATATAATTAAAGATATATCTATACCTCCTATAGCATTTTTCTCTAATTCTTGCCATCCATCTAATTCTGGAGAAAAATTAGCATTCTGTAAATACGAGTTAACATGCTAGCTTAATACAGTTTTCTTATATCTGGGAAACCAAGACCTCCTTTGTTTTTTTGTTTTTTTAAGGATAACACTTTCTGGTTTATTCTTGGTGTCTTTTCTTTCCAGACGAAATCTGCAAAACCTGATTGTATCATTGTTAACCACATTTTAGGAATTGATAAAGGGATCATTTGAAATAAATATGACCATCTAAAAAGAATATATGAATTGGCTAAATTTATTCACCCCCACCAGGAGAGCTCCACTTTCCTCCATTCATTTAATAAATGGTTTGTGGATTTCAATAGTTCTATGAAATTTAATTCCATCAGATCATTTAAATATTTTGTAATTTTAATATCCAGATATTGAAAACTATATTTTATCCATGTAAAATTATATTGACTTTTTATTAGATTTTTCATATCTGGGTCTATATTTTTGATAGTTGTTGATTTTTGTATATTAATTTTATAATGTGATACTTTACTAAAAGTGGAGATCTCCTCCATGAGGATTATTAGAGATTGCTTTAGGTTTGTTAGTGTCAAATGGACAGCGTCTGCATATAGATTTATTTTATATTGTTTGTGATTCATTGAAAAGCCTTACATTTTTTAATTCTCTCTGATTTTCATTGCTAACGGTACAATAGATAAGACATAGAGGATTATAGAAAGCTAGATTATAGAGGCTCTAGCAGCGTTGGTTCTTCACCTGTGAGGGACGCGAGGTCCCTCAGGGCGCGGGGGAAAAGGGGGGCTCGGCGCAGGCACTCTCCCTCGGGAAGTTCAGTAGAGACTAGGTCAGGGTCCTTGGGGTGGGGACGACAGGGGAGGGCAGCGAGGGTTGAGGGTAGGAGTCGGAGTCCTCGGGGCGGGGGGGAGCGGGCTCACGGGGGACAGCGGGTGAGTGGCGCACGGCGGGAGGCCTTGGTGGCAGGCAGGTGCTCCCTGGGTCGGGACGGGAGGGGAGCCGGAGAGCACTACCCCCTGCCCAGGATGTCTTCTCCTCATTTCAGGTCTCCGAGCCGTTCATCGTCCACGTTGTCGAGGCACCAGGTGGGCTCCCTGGTTGGCGGGACGTCGGCGGATGTTGCGCATCCAGGTCACGCAGCGGTTGACAACGCAGCCCCGGGTACGGACGGATCGAGGGGCTTGGCCGGTGAGTCCAGAGGCCCCCTAGGGTCCAATACACTAGTTCAAACACTTCAGTCACTGCTCCACTCATTGGGGGCGGGGGGTGGTACTTCGGCCAACGTAGGTCAGGTTTGGACGCGAGGGTCCGGCGAGGCGGGGCATGGTAGCGGGGCTCCCGTGATAACCGCGCCCAGCGGGGAGGCGGGTGTGGAGTCCAGCCCGGGAGAGGTGGGGTGCGAACGGGCGGAATTGTCGGGGGGAGTGTCGGACGCGGCTAGGCAGCATGCTTACGTGTCATTCGCGGGCCCGCTGGGGGTGCACCTCAAGCAGGAGGCGAAAGAAAAAATTTGGAAGGGGGAGTTCTGTGAGATATTCTCCCTTCTTCCTCTGGAGGACTTCATTGACCTCAAGGAGGAGGATAAGAAGGACGAAAAGAAGGAGGAGGAGGAAAAGCGGAAGCGGTATCGGAAGATACCGAAGTCCTTCGGGAACTGGCTGAGGGCGTTCTGCGTCCTGGCCAGTGTGATAGGGGAAAAATCGCAGAGTTCTTGCTCTTCCCTATTCTGTTACTTGGACGGGATCTGGGAAGCGTATCGCACCTACGGCGGCCTGGCTTGGTGGCGGTACGATGAGCAGTTCCGGCAGCGCTTGGCAGCCAATCCGGGAATGAGGTGGGACCAAATGGACCTGCCCCTGTGGATGAAGCTGATGATGGCGCAGAAGGCACAGCCCTTTCAGCACGCGGCTGGCGCAAAGGGACAGTCCGCCTCG